GGGGGGGGGGATGGGGTACTAAACAAATTTTGTTGTAAAAGTAGGTGCTGAGCTGAGCATCTACTATCAGCCTCATCATGGTTGTTGAACAAAACTTTTTTGCAACTCTGAATGCCCGGAAATAATGCTGACAATTTGTAGAGCCGTAGCCCCTCCCCTCAAAGAAATAAAATTAACACGGTGATAGAGTCTGTGTTGGAAATATGGTACATCTGGATACCTGGAAATACAAGCTGGCAAACCTGTATAGCCACCACCCCTCCCCATCCTGTCTATTGGCAGACAAAGATTTGAAGTTAGTGGGGACTAGAGATATACCCACCTCTGCCCCATATGTTTTGGGCTAAGTTGAGCAACATTTTGGCACCATAACTAAGTTATTGTTATGAAAATAGGCCTATGTAGTACAATATATACCGTACTGTACATCATAAATTTACTAAATTTATCTATATTGAAATATTTGCTCTCAGTGTACACTATATTCCATATTCTAAGTTTCGAGGCATGAATATATCCCCATAGCAGACTTGAGAGTGTGTGAATAATGTTCATGAGGTACCGTACTCTCCCATATATAATACTAATAGGAAGATTTTTTTAAAGGGCATCATATTCTTACTGGTATGACTCAAGAAAAAATAGAGATAATAAAGGTCTATGCCACTTACATGATGCTAAAGAGTGGACGCAGAAAAAGCATCCAGGTTAAAAATGCTATATCTGGACACAGAATGTGGTAGCATTGACCAAATTACAATTCGTAAGATTATTTTAAATCATGGGAATAGACAAATATAGGTCTACTGCGAAAATGATATATTGTTCAAAATGTAATTAAGTTGCTTATTCCTCCATGAATAAAAGTGCAGGAAACACGAATATGTTCAAGGAATAACAATGATAACTGTGATTATATCTACACGACGTGCAGTATTGATAAATATGCAATTAATTAAATAGGCCTAGAACATGTTCTATGAATACACATGATACAGTATGCTATGAATTATCTATGGAAATACAGTAGGCCTCCTATGCCTACACAAATAACGTCGCGTTTCGACAGACTTACTGCTCGTACAATTTAATTTATACTTACCAAATTCAAACTGAAGCATAATCAATTATCGATCACGCTCCAGGTCAGTTATATTATCACTTGAATTGTTAAAATGCTGTAATCCTGTGTTTTCTTCTGGTAGACCTTACAGCGATTACACTCAAACAGACCATGTAGCTACCTCCATGTACAGATCTAACAGGTGATATAGACAGAGAACATTCAAGGGCTATCCAGCTTTTTTGTAAAAGAGTGGGGAGTTGCACAATGTTGTTAAAATGTGGCTAGTTTTACAGGGGTTCCGTGGTCATACCGTGGAGACTTTGTTTACCTGGATGCCCAGAAAAAATATGAAATAATTATGATGATGTTGATGATGATGATGATGATGATGAAGATGAAACTTTGTTTAAAGTGAGTCCAATTTGGAATCAATGGAAAATAAAGGCCCCGGTAAGGGTGCAGGGAAAAATCCCCTAGAAAAATCAGTAGTTTCGATTTGGTATAGACTAATTTGGGTTGCTATATTTAGCATTATAAAATAGTTTTGAGCACGGGGACTAAAAAGCTGGGCAAAAATTTGATGGTTCTGGTTGTAGCGTATAGGCATGTTTGGTATTGATTTAATTTTTAGTTATCGTTGCTTTGCATTGCATTGGAATTGTTGATTTTGTCGGGTCGCCAACCCGTTACAAATCTCGACATCCCCCACTACCACTCGTCTAACACCGCGACGAAGTCATCGGACTAAATTAATATTCAAATCCAATCACAGACGTTATTATGATTGCTGTTCCCTAATATATTGTAGTCTAAAAGTATAATTTTGGGATGCCCGAAAATAGCAACTGGCAATTATAGAGCCAAATACCACTTAACCCCAGCAAGGGGCAGAAACAGCATGCATGATGTGAACAAATTATGAAATTATGGCATCTGTGATACCCAAAAATAGCATCTGGCAATCAAGAATAGCAAGTAATCAGGGCTGGCTTTATCCGCATAAGCCTGTGTGGTGACTTTCTTCTTCAAATTCGCTTTCTAGTGGCTCAAATTGATAAAGCTGCTCCATTTCTTTGCTTTCTTCTTTAGATCAGTACTTCACAACTGAACCTCTTTTATGTGTCGCGCTATACGATGTTTGTATTACATAAACAGGATGGCTGTGATTGTTATACCGAGTCTACGTTATCAGCTCTACTCACACTTCAGTGAACATCTCCAGTGGGTGGGGCTTATACTAATATTTTAAACCGTCATTTATATTTATAAACTAAAAATTAAATATTGTATTACCACTTATTTGTTAAACATATGTAATACTTCAATAATCAGCAACTTAAAAAGCATTATTTTAATTGAACTTTAAAGTAGGTTCAGCCTGGAGGTATACTAATTTTATACCTCCATGGTTCAACTAGCCCTATATTGTGCGCACTTCAGGCCATCATGGCCTACTTCATTAATACGTTTTACTTCACTGAAGCCAGGTTTCATTCATTGATTATTGTTGTCAATATTATACTTTATCAGGGACTCATGAAAATTCCCAACCTAAACGATAAAATTTGACTTGACTATATTTTGTTCTCAATATGCTTGAAAATTTTTTCGAGTATATTATAGATATTTATGGTCGTTAAAATCACGTATCCGCTTACAAACAATTTCAGAACGTATGACCACTAAGAATTTCGCTTAAGTGGACCCCCTGTCTCTGGGTCCGACCAGGTGCAATTATCTTGCACTGTCACCAAATGTCAACGCCGCTGCCTGCACTTTCACAATGTTTATTTCTCATGAATTCTTCCGACTTGTATTAAGAGTAAATTCGGATATTTTCTTTAAGTTTTTGATATTTAATATTTCTTTCTATCTGATAAATATATATATATATAGCATACACATGTGGCGCAACGTACGGGGGACAGTGGACACTTCAGAACCTGTCTCTTATACACATCTAGATGTGTATAAGAGACAGCGTTTATCCACTGCAGTTCATATGTATAGTAAATAAGATATTTAACATAATGAACTTACTTCCTTCCGCAGCTGATCCGAAACATGTGGAAGAGCCTCTTAATGTATCATGGCCTGCATGGTAAAGTCAATCGTTGGGAGACACCCTGCATTTGACCAGGCCCCGCAGGGACATGATTCATAGCATGCGATCGGGTCACTATATTATACGCGGTCGTTATGAAGCGAAAGTAGTAGGCTGGCTTTTCCGAACTTAACCAAGACGCTACACACTTATTAAATAATCACCAGTGATTCGACTTTTGAACGCAATCCTTCAATTTTTTTGTGTGTTTATATTCAACATTTATCAACCTAATCAATTTCGATTATTCTTTAAAATACAGGCCTAAAATATTCGACAGTGTATAATTGTTAACGAACATTATTAATACTCAAAGTATTACCTCTCAAAAAATAATCAAGCAGTATGACTCTGTCTGTAAGCTTGAAACCGGCATAAGAAGGTCTAATAAAGGCACCACCGCGTTGTATTGCCAGTGGCAGGCTTTCTCTCTTCACAAGACCTGTAGTTGCATATAGAAAATGACAAGTTTCCTGTCTAATTATGGTTGAAAAAAAAAGCTTCAGATACGGCAAAATAAAATCCATGTATCCATAAGATTAAAATTCCGATTCAATTTGACTGCCTTATCATCACGAAAACGTTAAAATCAGCCAAAAATAAATCAATCAAAACCATTGAAGCAACACAATCAACACACTGTTAGTTACAACATATTCGACTTTTCGTGAGTGTGAATCAAACTTAACAACTGACCAATCAGAACAGGGCCAGAAATACGTACGTGTCAAACAAGCACACGTGTTGTGTCACAACAAACGCACGTGTTCGCGTATTAAACTTAGAGAACTTAGCAACAATATCCAAGGGGCGGGGCTTAGCGAAAATGTCCATTTGTTGTAAGTTGGATTTTCATTTTAATTCGGACAGACAGACACTGCCTGGCTACTGTATAATTCCTTGAAGGCCATCAACCTAATGCGATGTTTCACGACAAAATTAGGGACGGGAAATTTTATTTGACAATAAAGCGTTATAAATAAACTTTGCTAATTTAGCTTAGCAATGTTGTTTCTTATTAAATGCAAAAGTTGAGGGGTTGGTCCAGAATTAAGGTGGAAGTTAAAAGACTCCCTACTTTATATTGTTGGCAAAATAAACAGAAATGGTAATTCAGTTAAGGTTACATCGCGGAGGTACAACTTTTTAAATCATGATTTAAGTTAACACATACACAATTCTAGATAAGCTTATTATGTGCACGCGAATTTTAAAACGAGCTTAATTATACTGACATGAGAAATCGCGAATTCTCTGAGATGGTACACCCGGCCATGCGCCTCTTTAATATAGGCTCATGCAAAGTATTAATTCATTCAAACTAAAATAATTCATTTCAAAACAGTTACCGGTATGTTCTAACATTAACGTTATGTATGCTTATAATGTCTTAACTCAAACCGGATCGGGAAGCACATGCTTTTTGGGAACTTTGTATAAATCCCACCTGAATAGTTAAAATGACAGTAATGTTCTTGAAACTAAAAACTTCATTTAAATTAACTCCTTTAAAAAGACTCATTTTTGTATTTTACAGGAAGACTTCCACCACGTACTGGAATCTTAAAGGGGCGTATTTTGCAATGGCAAGTTTTTGTAAGCTCTGCATCAAATGGTGGTCTGCATCACGACGAACTTACTATGGCAGAGGTCTTTAAAGAGAACGGCTACGATACCCGTCTTTTAGGCAAGTGGCACATAGGAGACGGTCCAGGCGGGAAGTACTTGCCAATGACGCATGGATTCGATTATTGGGTGGGAACACCTCTTACTCATGCATACACATGTGGCGCAACGTACGGGGGACAGTGGACACTTCAGAACTTATTCTACCCATTTTTTGAGTTCTTTGGATTTTTTGTCGTGTTGGCGCTTGGTATACCAACATTGAAACTCGTAGGATTAGTTGACATGAGCGGTATGTTTAAGTTAGTCAAGGCGTATTGTGTATTTTATGTACTTGTGTTCTTGTACATAGCAACCATGACCCTTACGAATCCGAGAAGTTGTATCCTCTACAGAAATAACAAGATCATACAGCAACCATACTACACAGATAACCTAACTCTGGAGTACACAAGAGAAGCAGTAGATTACCTTGAGGAAAGAGGTAAAGAACGATCGAAACCTTTCTTTTTAATGATGTCATACAACCAAATGCACACAACCGTATTTGCATCACATACATTTAAGAATACAGGAGGGCTTGGTTTGTATTCAGATGCACTTAGAGAAATGGATTGGAGTGTCGGTAAAGTAATGGCGGAGCTGAAACGGCACAAACTAGATGATAACCTGTTAGTTATGTTGACGTCAGATAACGGGCCTCTATCTACATATGAGCCGCATACCCAAGCCCACGTTCCAGTCGATCAAGGAGGATCTGCAGGAGAAGTTACAAACAGTAAAGGAGAGCGTGTAAGATTAAAGGGCTTCAAAAGTACAAATTGGGAGGGAGGAATTCGTGTGCCTGGAATTATTCGATGGCCCGGAAAAATCCCAGGTGGTATCGAGGTTGATTCAGTAACATCTATTATGGATTTCTTCCCGACCGTTCTCGATATTATGAAACGTCCAGTGCGGGACCGTATTATCGATGGCCGCAGTCTATTACCATTTATAGAAAACGCCAACAGACCAACGCAGCACAATTTTCTCTTCCACTGGTGTGACCCTGATCACCCAGCCGCGGTAACTTACAAAAATTACAAAGCCATTTTCGTTGATGAAACCATTCACGTAGGGTGTAATCGTAATTTTCGCTCTGAACCATTGCTCTTCGACATGGCAAACGACCCAGGAGAGTCGAAGCCGCTTACTTTAGATAAATATCAAGATGTTCTCGAAGAAATTCGTGTTGCTATTCGCTTCCATATGCAAAGCCTTAACCAGAATTATATAACAGAAATGGAAAAAATATTTGTACCATGGTGGTTTCCATGTCAAAATTTTCCATACTGTTCAGTAACTCCTAAACCAGGATATTATGCAAAGTTAGGTATTTAATTGGCATCAACATACAGTACTATTATTATTGTATTGGTTTCATTTCATTAATTGTAGTCAAAAAGTAGGCCTGTTATTACTAATTTTATTGGCTTTTTTTTCATTTTTTTACTGTTCAGAACATAAAGACGCAGACCTGGCATGTCTGTAAATAATTTTGCTACTAAATGCAGTATGCATTAAATTTTGTGTGTGAATGACGTCAACCTAAGAATTTTGAAATAAATCTCATTTCGCTGATGAATAATTTGTAGGCCTATTTCTTTCCGTCTGAGTGGAACCGGTAGATAATGTCGTTAAATATCAATTTAATTGTTATTGTTGAATGTTCAAATATATTAGTTGAAATATTCTGTTTGTGTTGAGAGAAAAAAATTAAAGAATATAATTCAATATTTTAATTGCTTTTTTAAAAATAATTTTCGTTGTAGCTTTCAGTCAAAAATTAGAAAAGCCAATTTACAGACGCATAAAAAATAATCTTGTTTGCATTTAAATCTAAATTGGATTCAGGTAACCAATATCAGAGTTTTCGAACTAAAAGGTCTGTAAATCAGTGTGTTTCGTTAAAAGTTGGATTAGGTTGCTTCGTCTCCCGTGTGAAACACACCAGTCATAACCCATGAAAATCCAAAGACTTGGACATTAATTGTTAATAACGGCCGTATTCGAAGGGCGTTCTTCGTTAAACCACGCCCACCTGCGGAGTGGTAAAATCTTACTTAACAGAGACGACTAGTCGAATAGAAAACTGGTGAATACTCGACAAAACAAAATGGCTGCATAGTTACCGCGATGCACGCTGCGTAATCAAGGTTGCTTCGGCTTGTGGCAATATGGGTTTTTCGTAAACAAATGTTTTCATCCAGTTTTTGAATTTTGTTTGACCGTACAATTATTTTTTGACTTTATGTGAGTAAATGTTATAATTTTTATTTTCTGAAATTTATTCTAAATTATATTAACGCAAATGTTGTTGACAACTGACCAATTGGCCATCTTTGTCTTGGTCACGTGGATAACTTAACGCTGATTAACGCACTGTGGTTTACGTTAATTTTCTTTGTCAACGAAGTCTAATTTACGAACCAGTCGAATGAAAATAATACTCAACGAAAAATCGTAGTCAACGAAATGAACTAGTCGAATGAGTCCAATAAGTCGATAACTTAGGTCTATTTGATAAATTTAGCATATAGGCCTATTGTTTTTATTTGAGGTCTTTCTTACATTATCTTTGTTATCATTAATAATACAATGATAATGATCACCATGATCATTGTCAGGGCCGTCGGAAGCGCACCGGCCGCACCGGCTATGGCCGGACTACCTTTTCTCAATTCCATTACTTTCTGAAATAAATATATAATGCTAATTATGAAGTATATGAATGTACGCATCGCTTTTTCAATCATGGTACGATGGACCTGAGATAGAGGGTACAGTATCTTGCCCACTTCCACTAACTTTCAATCTTGTATCTGTCCCTGCATGGGGCCACGGAATAGGGATAGTTGCTTTGCAGCACATTTTCAAAATTTACAGGTATGAATTTATACACCTACTTTACCCCTTGAGGAGGCGGGGGGATTGCCAGATGAGATTTTTGGGCATCCACAGTTTATACTTTTAGACCACAATATTAGGGAATGGCAATCGCAACTTGATTGGATTTAAAGATTAGTTTAGTCTCACGACCTCGTCGTGGCGTCAGACGAAAGATGGTGGGGGATGTCCAGGTTTGTAAAGGGGTGTGGTGCTCAACAAGATGAAAAGCAACGATAAATAGATTAAATCCAAACATTTTAATTTATATATATATATTAATACGAGAACAAACAACTTTTTGTTCAGGGCTTTCTAGTCCCTGGAGGTCAATCTGAGGATCGCTTGCTTTCTCAAAGTATTAGGCTTACTAGGCCTATTATAAGACTAAAAATAGCATAGCGACCTAAATTAGACTCTACCAAATCAAAACTGCTGAGGGGGCTTTCATCCCTGCACCCTGACCGGGGGAATTTTTTCGGTTTGATTCCAGATTGAACTCACTTCACTTTAATCTGCATTAGTTTCTCCATCATTCTAAAGTGGCATGCCAACACCTACATCAACATCATTGCCGTTCATCATCATCGTCAACGTCATCGCCATCGACATCATCATCGTCATCATTATTGTCGTCGTATTCATTATCACCTTCATCATAACCGTCATTGTTATCATCATCCCCTCATCATAATTATGATTATCATTAATTCACATTTTTTCTGGGCATCAAGGTAAACAAGGTTAAAAGATGTATTGCCTCTTGAAAATGACAAAAAAAAAATCATAAAAATAATTCTGAAATTTACTTGTTCATTTTTGCAGTAGCATACATATTTTCTAACTTGAGCAAAGAAATTATTGAATTTTAAAAATATGTACCCTGATTTTTAAACTGGATAATTGTAATAAAAATAATAAAACACTTCCATTGACAGGAAGTTTTTCTATGATTTTCTTTGTAAATGACGGGTAAACTTTTTAAAAATACATTCATGTTTATGTTCAAGTTGATAATTTTTATGTTACTTAAAAATGGGCAAGTTAATTTCAAAAATGATTCAGTGGCATTGTGCCCCTCTCCACTCACTAACTGGATCACCCTAATGTTAGTACTCTATTATATATTTATTACCAGGGTAGATCTCTCCATGGAAGTATACGTGCATGGACTGTCTGCATGAATATACCGAAGGTTGACTAAAATTAATGTGTAATCGGTATAAGGCCTACCAGAAGCAAACACAGCACTTAACTTATGTTTTTCTCTTTTTTTTTACAATTCTAGTGATAAATAACGTATTAATGTTCCAGGCTGAACTTTGCAAGAAAATGTAATTAAAATTGTACGAGCAGTGTTCATAACATGTAGGCTGTAGGTCCATTTGTGTGGCTAATAGTATCCTGTGTTTTATTTATTGCATATTGTGTATATTTCATAGCTGAATACCCTCCAAATCGTGTAAATACAATTACAGTGTGTTATAGTCATTTTTGGTTTTATGTATTACACTTTTTTTTTTATAAGAACACATTTTATAACACTGAGGCTGAAATTGCTTAAAAATTAAGAACAAAATAAGAACAAATTGAGGCTGAGGTAGTAGAATGTCAAACTAGAAAAACCCAAAAAATTATATCTGTACCTTATGTACAGTAGGTGTGACTATGCAATACCCTCTATAATACAGTACAGTAGGTGTCCTTACCTCCAATTTGGGGCCATTTTTTAACCGGGGCCATTTTTTGCTGGGCCTTTCATTCAGGGGCCATTTTTTTGCAGTGCCGCTTTCACCTCCCAGTACAGTGTATACTGCTGTACAATAATAATTTTCTATGTTTGAAAAGTGTGTAAAATAAGAACAAAATAAGAGCATTTTGAGCCTGAAGTTGGCCAAAAAATAAGAACACTGAGCCTGGGCAAACTTTTACCGGTTCTTATATATAAAAAAAAGTGTATATTATTATGTATTCATGTTTCTTGCTCTTCTGGAGGAATAAGCAACTCAATTTATCTACTTATGGCAGTGATAAGAAATTAAATTTTTAACAATATAATTTCTACAGCTTTACCAGCTGCTATTTCATGGCATCCAGAGGTTCCATATTTCCAACATAGACTGTCATCCATACTAACTTTATATATTGTGGCTGCCCCTTGAGGGGAAGGGATAGCGGCTCTATGTTGTCAGCATCTATTTCATTCATAGGCATTCATTGTTTACCAACCATGGTGGGGCTAGAGTTGATATGATAATTATGCTCTCAGCTCAGAACTTAACTAACTTCAAAATCCTGCTGTGGATAGAGATAGCGGGTCTCCACTCTTCATTTACTACCAAATTTGTCAAGAGCTCAT